GAGAGAGAGAGAGAGAGAGAGAGAGAGATCCACCCCAAAATAAAATATCGTTCCCTATACCTTTATGCTCGCTTTACTTTTTTTAAATAAAATATTAAGTTTTACAGTGTACTGAATTAAATTTTCCAAAGTCCGAAATCCATTTCCATGAGGTTTGACCTGTTTTCTTTTTGCTATGTCGCCATGTTTGTAAACTCAATGACAGACTAAATATAAACTTTGTTTTTTACTTTACTTTCTCACTCACTCACACAGATGGAGCCAAACTCACCAGTTTTTTTTTCTTTGCACTGCCACTCACAACATGGCGGCGCACGTATGGTTACGCAACGCAGCCTAAGGAAGCTGAAAAGTTGCCTTCCGACAAAAAGTTTATAATTTTACTGTACATCTTATGAAACGCTAACCTCAACTTGCAACTTAATGCAACTAAATAGTTTATAAATTCGTCCCTTAGGATGGAAGAAAAACTAAGGAAGTGGGTCGGAAGTGATAAGGGAGTGACGTTTTCCTTTTGCTTAAAAACATGCGCTCTGAATCCTCTGAAAATGAAACCTTAGTGAGCTACAAACCACTTTCAAAACCAGAAGTCTTTTTTATTGCTTCAAAATTGTGTTTTGTTTCAGAGACGAAATTCCAAACCAGCAACTCGGATCCTTTATTGCGACTTTTTTCTCTAAAACCTCCAAACTTCGGAATAAGTGAGTATCTGTAACTTTGTTAGTTGGTAAACTAAGCCCTCCCAGTTACTCTAAGGCAAATTTAACTAACAACCAACTTTAACGCCATTTTATCTATTCAAAAATTAGGCCAATTTAAATGGCAGACAGTCTGATATAAACCTACAAACATCAGTCATTACAATATTTGTTGTTAGTTAGAACATTGCTATAGTTTTTATTATCGCCATTCTGACGTAATTTTCTCCTATTGCCATCAGGCAGGAAGTAAAATAATATGGGAATAAATACCTAGATAACTCGGGTGTGGCAAAGGTGAAAAACAACAACTCAGAAGACATGAGACTAACTTAAGACTAAATAAAAGCTTCACATTTAAGCTGCTACAGCAAATAAAAAAATAAATTTGAAAAGGAAAAAAATACTGTGCTGTTATTATGAAGACATGCAGACAGAATAATGCAGAAACTACAGCGAAAACAGAACAGGTAAAAAAAAAAAAAGGTCAAATTATTTATTAATATCTCTATTCCTTAACATCTGTAAGTCACATATTAAACAGACTGGAAGGAATTTAAATATTGATCAGATCAAGAACCCGGGCTCCTATTAGTATGGCTGTAAACACATACTGGGCCTGTTGGTTACAAGCAAAGATGATGAAGTCTAACAGCAGCATGGAGGAAACATCTGTAGAGGCGTCCCTTTGTGCATCTAAGATACAGCAGTCTGTCATATCAATTCAAAATATTGCAATAAATAAATGACCTCCGATTCATTAATTGTAGCATGACCTCATGAGGACATAAAAAACATAATTTTGAGTTTGATAAGAAGTAATTTCAGGTTAAAGATATGCACTGAAGCATAAATGGAAATAGTCTGTAATTTTCAGTTGATTTAAGAAGAATATTCTGTGTTTTGTTTACAGTGAGTCCATCTGCTGTTATTAGAAAGACATATATATATATATATATATATATATATATATATATATATATATATATATATATATATATATATATATATATATATATAGCAGGCTGCTCAGTGGTACAGTGGGCAGCACTGTGGCCTTGGCTTCAGGCAAGAAGGTTCCAGGTTCAGTTCCCAGCCCGGGGTCTTTCTGCATGGAGTTTTTATGTTCTCCCTGAGCATGCGTGGGTTCTCTCAGGGTACTCCAGCTTCCTCTGACAGTCGAAAAAACATGATTCTCTAAATTGTCCTTAGGTGTGAGTGTGTGTGTGAATGGTTTTTTATCTCTGTGTTGCCCTGCGATGGACTGGCGACCTCTCTCGCCCGTAGACAGCTGGAGATGATCACCAGCATCCCTCGCGACCACGCTTGGGATAAGCATGACATGATGTATATATTCATATATACAGAGAGAGACATCTTTAGCAGGGAATAACAATAAAAAACGATTTACACTAATATTGTCACTGGCTGGAAAGTTTGTTTCTGTTTACTGCCATGCTGTTTTCCTGATTACTTTCTGAAACATCCTAGAGTGTCTTTTAGTGACCTCTTCACACCTGCTTACTGTTTATATATTGTTTGATCTGTTTCCACAGCAGCTCTAAGCTAAGAACCATATAGGAGTGAGAGGAGATGGACAGAGTGCTGCTGTCCCGGATCGACGAGGACCTGGACTCTTCCGAGGTGGCAGAGCTGTGCTTTCTGTGCAGCGATATAATCAACAGAAAACGCCTCGAAGGGGTGAGAAGCATGTTTGGGGTTCTGTTGTGTCTCTGACGTTTTTCTCTTCAACATCCATTTATGTTTTTTTTCTTTTGTGATCCTCCTATAGATAAAGGATGCAAAGGAGCTGTTCATGAGAATGGAGGAGAAAGGTCTCCTGGAGAACAGTTCCTTCCTCTCTCAGCTGCTGTACACTATCCATCGAGCAGATCTCCTCAACATGCTGGAGAATGACAGCAGACAAACAGAGGAAACAGACGCTAATCCCTTCCTCTCGGAATACAGGTAACAGAGGCGGCAATCACATGCTGTAAAGGCAGCAATGATACAGCAGAGTTGCTCAAATGATTCAGTTCATTACCTTTGATCTGAAGTTCAGCATTTCTACACATTTCTATCTATTACAAAATGTTAAAAACTCAACTGCACTGGAAAAAATCAAAACCTAGATAAGTAATTTTTTCTTAAAATAAGTGCATTTCTTCTTAAATTGAGGAGATTAAAGAGACATTGTGCCAATGGAACGAGACAATTTAGATTTAAAATAAGAAGACACAATTGCATCGTCTTATTTCAAGTGCATATTATCTAATTATCTTATTTTAAGGTTAAAATACTCATTCCATTGGCAAAAAACAAATGTACCTATTAAAATCATGGGTAAATACACTTAATTTAAGAAATGTTTACTTATTTCTAGATCATTTTTGCAGTGTGGCCTATATGTTTGTCTTGAAAAGGAAATACTGAAGTTCACCATGAAGCTATGGGTGATAATGTACAGTAGAGGTGGAAGGATTTAGGTATTAATTGTTGAAATACAAGTGACTAAGGAGGAGAAGTAAAAGGAAGAAAGGAAAGAAAAAAAGGATGGAAGCAAAAAAGGGTGTAAAGAATGAATGAGGGCACACCATAAAAGAAAGGGGGGACAAAAGGAGAAAAAGATACACGGAAGAAGGACATAAGGAATGGCAAAAAAATTAAGAAAGGGAGGAAGATGCATAGAAGCAAAGACACCATTAAAGAGTTAGGCATGATAAAAAGAGAAGACACAAAGATACATCATCCTTCTGGTTTCTTGACTCCATGTATTTTATTCAAACCTGACAGAAACCATGTTGATTTGTCATTAAAAAAGATGCTGAATAGAATAGATATTTGAATGATTGAAATGAACAAAGGTGCTTAAAGCATCCATTTTTATTTTGCAGTCATATAGTAAACTGGTCTAAACTATTAGTGTCTATGTCTGTTTTCATTGCTTTCCTTCTTCCATGTGGTTTATTTGAACTTATGTGCTCTCACTTTAAGGTTGTTGCTTTACAAAATCCATGAGGATTTGACCCAAGAGAACCTGGATAAGTTGAAGTTTCTCCTCAAAGATAAGATGCCTAAACGACCCCTGGAGCTGAGCAGCGTGAGAACACACCCGCAATCTTTGAGCTGCAGCACACAGCATAGCAACTCATGACATCATAGCTCAACTTTTTACCTCAGTTAAAGGTTCTAAGTATTAGCATCCACTGTATGAATGAACAAAGAAAACTAGCCAAGCGGAGGAAATAAAGATTTTGTGTTTACACTAAATTTGGCAACTCTAAGATGCGTATACATTAAACTTAGATACATGTAAATTATGTCCCGCTTGTTGTAAAGGGCTTCCTATTGGTTACTCTCTACAACTTCCTGTTGTACTTTTGGGGCAGACAGAAGAAGTTCAAAAAAGTTTTTTTACTAGGTAAAGTTGCTTACTTGAAAACTCTACAGCAGAGCTTTTAGAAAGTTTTCACCGCATCTGTTAGTGCTTTAAACGTGCCCTCTTAAAAACAATACACACAATAACTGTTTAGCACCATTCAAAACATACTTCTGCTCAAAATAATGCATCAATAATGTGTTAATGATCTGGTTATCTCTCAACATTAGGATAATCCTACTGGAGCAGCAGGTTATTGTGGCTTTTCCATATATATTTAGTTATTCCCATATATCAGGTTTGATTTTTCTGAATCATGCAGGATGTTTTTCTAATAAAAGAAGGAAAAACGTTAATAATTTATTTATCATGCTCCTAATATTTTGCAATTAAAAGGCAGGAATTTTAACAGTGCTTTTTAAAGCTATTGAGTTTTCCTGCACCTTCTTGTGTTATTAGTCTTTAATGCTCCTCAGGTGCCTCCTAAGGTGGGTGGGGCTTGTAGTTTTCATATAACTTTTCGACATCTTCATTAAAAAATTTTCTTTCTCTTTCAATTACAGACAGCTCTGAATGTGTTTTCTGAAATGGAGAAGGCCGGACTAATCTCAAACAGAAACGTTAGGGAGCTCCACGTTCTCCTGTTGGAGTTTGATCGACAGCTGGCGATGACTGTGGAAAACTACATGAACAACACCACTCCTCCTGTCAGCAGCAGTCAAGAGGTCTGTCTCTGTGTTAAAGCTTCCTCTCTCATACATAAATCCTGTAGCTCATTAGCTGACTGACACGTGCAACTGTTTCTCTCCAACAGAGATCGAACGGCATTCCTCACGTTTTACAGCCATCTTTGTCCATGTGTGAGACTCAGCCTGCACAATGTAAGGCTCTACTTTCAAAAGATTTGCTCACTTATTTGTATTAAAAACATTTAAAGACTTAAAATGGCTATAAACTAGAATTCGACCAATGCAGAATTTTTAAGGCTGATACTGATTATTTTGACATCAGTCTAACAAATCCCAGCTATGTGCAGCCAGCTTTTGAATAAAAATTTTTATTTGGCTCATTGTTACATCAGATATTTATTTCTTTTCCATTGAGACAAAAAAGAAATCATAATTTATTGATGCAATGTCATAAATCATTGTAATGCACTAAAATGTGGAGAAACTTGTGCCATCAGACACAGAAATTGAATAGAGCTGATGGAGTAGATATTCATTTGAAATTTGGAAAAGGTTTACTTTCAATTCTATGATTCATTTTCAGTTTAAATATTCAATTTATTTATGCTTGTGACCAGGCCTGTAGGCCATAGAGTAATCAAAAACAGTTTGACATTTCACATCTGGTTAAATTTACTCTGTAGGATTTTAGGCTGCAGCAGAGGGCTTAGCATTAGCTTAGTACATGAAATTAATGATATCAAATAAAAGATACATTAAGAACAAGAAAGATTTTTGGGCTAACTGTAACAGCTAACTGTAGCTGTTAGCCAAAGATGCTAAACTAGCATAATATGCATCACCATTGTTCTAGGTTTCAACATTGATAGTTTTGATGTGAATTGTTGGGTATTGACATCTGCCAGCTCAAAATGTGTCGAATATGTGTTTAACCAAATGTAAAACCAAATTTTTTCAACTGGTAATAAATAATAGTAAGGTAAAAATAGACAAATAACATTTTGAATGAAACGAAAAACTTTTTTTCAGAGCAAATGAATTCAGTTTAGTTTAATAAATTTTTAGAATGATGCTTTTACATTTAAGTAACATGAAAACAGTCAATCAGGGCAATAGAAAATGGAACCTTATGCTTTAAGAAGCAGTCAATAAATGTACTTTACAGCCTAAAGCTGCTTTTCTGTGAAAGTAGAAGGCAGACAGTGATAGAATTTATAACACTGCAGACATAAACATTGACATGACCATCAAATGTTTCCTCCTCCATTTTTCACTGAAACCTTTGTGTATTTTTTTTTTATTAAAATTTCTGAATCACAGGCAGACTTTAGTTGTAACTGGTTTCAGCAGATTGTCAAACTAGAAGAACATATTACCGTACCAAATATGGAGTTCCTTTGTGGCATTGAAGTAAAAGAGCATGTCCAGCTGTATAGGATCTGTAATGACGTTTTTTTGTGTAACTATAATGGTAAAACACTAATTAAAATGTCATTATTTGAAATATCTGCTTCTATTTAAAAAAAAAAAAACAGTGCATAGACTAACCTAGAATTTAATTTGTAATAAATCTTACAATCCAGCAAAGGTGGCAGGACAATAAAAGGGTGCAATCTAAAGGTGTGGTTATGCTGCAGTATCAGTTAAAGTAGCATATTAAAGCTTAGAAAGACCTTTTTCTCTGTATTCTTTAATCTCCCACACCATGTTTGTTTTCCAGATGTAGACGTTTGCTCTGATACTCAATCACAGATAACGCTGCCTTTATCTGATGAGGTAACTGATATTACACACTCACAGTTTTCTCTTGTTCATTTTACTCATCCATGTGTCTCATCAAGGGCCTTTTCTCACCTGGCTCTGTCCTTTTGTCCTGTAGACAGAGTACTACGTTTTCACTAAGAATCCCAGAGGTCTGTGTGTGATCATCAACAATGAGACCTTCAGTGGCAAACTCGGACGTCGCGAGGGCACTGACTCGGATCAAAGTAGTTATTTTTATTTATATTAACAGCTTTCAGTTCAAATAATGCATCTTTTGTGTCCTTTATTGGCTTGATATAGTCACTAATCAGTTTTTGTTTCAGATAAATGACCTATCGGTGAATAACCTTTAATTTGACTTATCTTCTATGTGATACAGACGCTCTAGACTCACTGTTCAATAGCTTTGGCTTTACGGTGGAGCCACACAAAAATCTAACTGCTGAAGAGATTCTAAAGAAAATAAAGGAACTGAGCGAAAGGGATTTTTCTATGGAGGATGCCTTTGTGAGTAGTTTCTCTTACCATCATCTTTAAGGAATGCGTTTTCAGAAGTTGTACACATGGTATACACTGCAAAAAAATCTAAATCTAGATAAGTCATTTTTTTTTTTTTTATTGAGGAGGTAAACGAGACATTTTGCCAATGGAACAAGACAATTTACACTTAAAATAAGAAACCAC